TGTGGAGTGGAGAAGAACGTATAGTCCCTGGTGTGACCATGGAGAACCCGCCACACATCCACCAACTGCTCGGTTTGGAGTATTTTCTTAAATCTCCTGAGAAAGGCATAGGAGAGGTGTGATGCGTTACGGGAAACATCTAGGAGTGGTTCCAGAGCCACATTTAGGTCACCCCCTACAATGAGGGTGCCGTCCACAAACGCGGACAGTTCGGAAAGGCAGTGTTCCATGAACACGATTTGATTGCTGTTTGGAGCATACACATTGGCCAATGTGACTCTGGACCCCTCCAAATCCCCCTTAACAAAAAGATAGCGACCTTCAGGGTCCTCCAGTGCCCCTCCAAAAACCCATCGAGCTGATCCCGCCACCACTGTGCTCACCCCCCTGGATCTGGAATCAGGAGAAGTGGCGTGATATGCATGTGGGAATCTATAATTGGTCAGTTTCGGGGTCCGATCCAGCTGAAAATGGGTCTCCTGGAGAAATGCCACCTGCACCCTCCCCCTCCACAGTTCCCCCAATACCTGGGAGCGCTTCTCTGGAGTATTCAGTCCCTTCACTTTCCAGGTAAGAATCCTGGTGGGCGGGTTGGGTATCACCTTCTGGGATGGACATGCAGAGGACGAGTCCGTCATTGCACACGTACTGCTGTGCAGCTCCGAGGTCTTGCTGCCGATCGACACGCCAGGCACGTCTGGTGGGTCAGGAGAGAGAGAGGGACAGAGAGGGGGGAGGGGTCTGGGAGAGGGTTAGAAGGAAGATGGGAGGACTGTGGCAGGTAGAAGGGGTTTGAGTAGGCAGAGTATGGGAAGAAGAAAAGGCCCAGGCAGTGAGAGGAACGCCTGTCCCCTAAAGGTCTGGGAAGAGAGAAAAAGGGAGAAAGAACACAACAATTAGAAAATACTAAAAAAACTGTCAATAGAGAATCAAAAACTCCGGGGTGTTGCCCCTCAGAGTTGTCCTATGTGGGCAAGTAACCAGAAACATGGAAACTGTGAGCATTCCGAACTCGGGCGCCCGATATCTAATCATTATTAATTAACATAAACAGTGAGTCCTGAAAGTAAGCTGGTGGAAGGACTTATACTAGCTCCCTGAAGCGGACATCTATTAAGGACACGGCTAAAGGGGCTCCCATATGGCAAAGGACTTCCAGAGCCCAGCTTATGAAGCCGCTCGGCAGGGAAATGATCCCCCCCCAATCAAGGCACATAACTTCCCGGCCAACTAAGCAGTAACCCCGACTGGACCCTTTAAAAGCTGTAAAAGACTCCAGGGCAGAGTGAGCCACATCTGCAAATACAACAGGGCTCCGTAGGACCTGTTCTCAGGTAGGGTACTTGTACGTCTCTCAGTCCCCGAACCAGTAACCGTGGTTCCTCAGTCAGATCAACTGGCGGCCCGTGCCGGCGGGGGTATCCCCTTTTCTGGGCCGTAGTAGCAGTGACAAGGGCAGGGGTGGAGGGCAAACATCCTGGCTTGTACCCATTGGGCCTGGCGGTAGTCCCAGTCCGAAAGTCCCCTCAGCAGCCTTGGCCCTCAGCGGGTATCCACAGCGGTAGTCCAAAGTCCAGCTTGCAGGTGAGCCAGGCTAGTCTTCTCTGGATGCAGGGCCGGTCCGATCCTGGCTTCGGTCCCTCCGAGGTCTACGAGATCCCTGCCTCCTGGGCCTCTGGTTGTTCAGTGGGGGGTCTACCCGATCCGGGAATGGGGTCAGCCAATCTTGCACCGGTACAGGGTCGCAACCCAGCAGAGAAAACAACAGCGGCAGCTGGTCTGGCCTATGCAAGGCGAAATGGCGGTCTCCCCTTCTGATCAGCAGGTGGAAGGGGTGGCCCCATCGATACGTGGCTCAAGCCACTTGTATACACCGGAGCACCGGGCGCAGCTGCCTCCGCATGTACAATGTATGGCTGGAGAGATCTGGTAAAAAGGAGATGGAAGCCCCATCAAAGTCCACGTTTTTTTTATTCCACGCCTGTCTCATCACCTCTTCCTTCAGTGTAAAATAGTGAATGCGACACAGCACATCCCCGGGGGATCCGTCCCTCATAGCAGCCGAGCCATACACTCTGTGAACCCTGTCCAGTTCCAGCGGGTGTGCCGGATCCCTATCCATCAGCATATTTAAAATCGCAGTCACTGTGGACCTTAAATCCGTCCCAGATGTGGCTTCTGGTATACCCCTGATGCGGACATTGTTTCTGCAATTTCTGTTTTCCCCGTCATCCACCTTAAGGCGAAGGTTGGTCAGGGCCTGCAGGTGGGTAACTTGCAGCTGTTCAAGCACCCCTAGCCGCGAGGCAAATGAGTCCCGGGTATTCTCTAGGGAAGTCACTCTGTCATCTACCCCCTGTACCTGCAGCCGTACCGCCGTCAGCTCTCTCTTCATGGATCCCTCCAAGCGTTCCACCATCGAATCCAGGTCCGACCTGAGGGCCGCAAACAGCCCTCTGAGTTCCGGTCCCGAGATCGGGGATTGCGTCTCCAGCGTAGTAGAGGTGCCGGGATGTGCCGGGGAGTCCGGTCGGAGCCCCAGGGGGGTGAGTATCGGGGAGGCAGTCGGCAGATCATCAGCAGAGGAGGCGTCATCCTCGGCTAACTGTGAGCGTGAGTCCGCTAAGCCGCTGCAAGCCACACGTGTGGGCGCCATCTTGGATCCCCTGGCCCGCGGCTCGGAGGCGGCTTTCGTAAAGAATCCGCGAAGGTCCGGTTTCGGTGAGGATTTCGGGGTCCCCTTTCCTTTCTTCTTTTTGGACATGGCCCCAAATCCACACCGTTTAAACAACACCAGCCTGAGATATTGGACCCGAGGTACGGAGCTCACGCGCTGCACGTCCTCACAGCTCCATGTCCTGGCCACGCCCCCCTAGCTACATATTCTGTAGCAATGCAAAAACTAATTTTACAAATCACCATTCAGCGGGAATAGAGTCCTTTTTATGCTACTAAGGCGGCAACATTAGAAAACACTGATCCTTTCAATTACATGCTTGGGAGATGCCTTTAAGCCATATGTGGTGTTACGATACATTCCTAACGGACAGCATTAGCAACACATTCTGGCACCACATATTTTCCTTGGCTTTAATAGAGCAGCAGCACTCCACTCTGGGGGTTGTAACACTGGCAAACAAAAAACATTAAGCTATCCCCCGTATAACCCCGCCTCCAACCGTCATGCCTGTTTTATGAGCAAGCAGTACATACGGCCAAACATAGGGGCACAAATCCAAAACATCCTGTTTTTTTATCACCCATTGAAGGGCACAAGTGTAGTAGATACTTTTAGACCAATGGTACATCCAAAAGCAGTCCAACAGAGGAGCAGGCAATAGCTACAGAGAAATTCAACAACCTGAAAATCATACTATACATAGTATTGAAGAAGTAATTTCTGAAAAAGAGAGCACATGGTCTGTACCTGTGTTACAGAGTAGGGCAGAATCAGTCCAATGAGAAATACTGTACCTAAGAACTATAGGCCTCATGAAAAAACTGGAAAAAGGACAAATAATTTACCAAACAGAGGTGGAAATTGAGTAAAACCTGAGGTGGAAACTGACTAAAAACCTGCAACAGCAAGTAGCAATGTGGTCAACAGAAGAAAAGAAAAAAGGCTTAATAAGGAACTCCAGCTGGCCAAAATTAACCCTTTTAGTGGGGCTAATTCCGCACTGCAAGGGTTATTTGCTCATTTTGTTTAAGGACAGGAATAAAGAAGATATGCTCACCTGATCCTTGGTCCTGCGGCAGTGCGCGCTCACTTCTCTCCCCCTTCACTCCGGCTGTGGTATGTCCCTCGGCGTCCTCACATCTAATGCAGGTAAATGGACCTGCATTAGACATGATGATGTCAACAGCCCTTAGATCACTGAAGCTTGGAGACCTAACTACCTAAGAGTAAAAGCATGATGATGTAAATAAAACAAATAGGCATTTTCAGCAATCACCAGTAGCACTCATCTCTCCTTGCAAATACTCTGATCTTCGGCTTACTACTTCATGTCTCTTCCAACACACACTGCAGAAAGACTGCTGGGAACGCTGAATATTTTAGGGAGGGGGTTGGCACATAGCTCTTTTAAGCCAGAAAGAGACCAAAGGCCAGAAAGTGCATTGTTGGTAATGGTTGTTATAGATGCAAACATCTGCATTAGCTTGTGATTTTCTTTAAACGACTAGGGTTTGCGTTGAACTCATGGTCAACCTAAACCCAAAGCTCATCCAAAGTTCCTCATTTGGACTATAACAGGTTATTCACAAAAAAGGGTGAATGGTTTGGAGAAGGCAGGAGAAGTGACCAATCTAGGCCAAAATAGCTGATTTGGAAAAATTCTCCAATTCAGCTCACTTTCCAGTTCAGCTATGTTGTCCTACATTGTTCCCTTCTCCTGCCTATTCCAAACTCCTCACCCTTTTGTAAATAGCCCTGTAAGTGTTCACTGTCTAGCCCTGGTTGTATGTTTTTTTTACGCGGGAATGAATAAGTGTATGTACTTAGGGAGGGATTGAATGAGAAAACTATTTCCGCACAGGGGCTCTTAAGTGTCTTTGTCTGCTACCAGCTCCAATAAATTCAATGGTCACCTGCTGTGGACAGACTATGCTGGAAAACAAATGACGTAATTAAGTATCTTAAGCTTCACTTCAAGTCACTGTCCTATAACCAGCATTAGGCAAAGACTGCTTCCATCACAGCCTCTTCATATGCACATGTTTTTTGTGTCAGGTTTTCTTTAATAGCTCATAATACATATAATGTAATTTTTGATGTATTGTGGTCCTGTAAGCCTAGGAGATAATTCGTGAATCAGAAAACAAACTCTGTTATAGCTTTTGCCACAGCACAGAAAATAGCATACATGAGTTGATATTAGTGTTTAACAGATTCTACTTGACTTTACTTATATCTGTTTAGTGCCCATGCAGAACAGCAATGTGAATTTTAGCATAAATATGGGAGGGTAATAATCATAAAGTTTGGTGAAACCTACGGGTCTGCTTCAGGGACATGCTTGGAAAGGAGACAGTTGTGCATAGGAGTAAATGGACGGCTCATTGATCTCTTCTGTTTTTTCTGCTGCTCTTCAGGTTCTGTGAGAAAGAACCTGGAGGGAGAAATACATTCATCCAAGTTAGTAAAAACACATGACTTTTAAATAAAACACTAACATGCTCCATGGTGCTGAATGCCAAGCGTAGAAGAACAATTCGCATTAAGAAATATTAAAACTCCCCTGCATGAACTCTGCATCAGGTTCCATAAGGTTTGGAAATTTTACTTTATTGCCATTGCTTTAAGCAAATATTTTAAACCAAAAGACCATTTAGACAAATACCCTTAAGAAAAGACTGCAACATGAAGATATCAGCAAAAAAAAAAAGACCTAGTACATTCATAAAGTAAGCAATTCCCCACAGCATCAGTGCAGCAAACTTAACAGCTTGTCTCCCCATCTGTTTACACAGCCCAGTGCATAAAGGTGATAAAAGCAGCAAAATACAACCTGCTAAATTAGAAGCATTAGCAGAGAGTGAACGTGGAGAAGTATGGGGATTTAGCTTAAATTCACACATTGCCCATAAATAAAAGACTCTGGAGACTTAATATAGGACTCCCTGTCCGTCCCACCCCCTCTCTTATATTTCATGGCTCATTAGCTCAAATAAAGTGTTTTTTTTCTGCTATGATGCAGTACAGAGGACATGGTGCATCTCTATGTTGAATATCACGGTTGTATTAACCATAAGACACTTGTGGACGAGCATATACGGAATCCATGCAAGGGGGAGCCAGCACCAATACTCAAAATGTACAATTATACTTGAATTCAATGTAAAACATGGAAGTCTAAATAACAGTTTCTTAGTAAATGTTTATGTAAACCCTAACAATGAACTTCCCTTATCTGCTCCCTTTTTGGCTGGTAAATATAGCATTGAAAGCATTTTGTTATATCAGTTTTGATAAGTGCAAAAAAAAAAAACCTGTTGATCTTATCAGAAATTCAGAGCTCTACTTTATTCTCTGCACACGGTCTAGATTATCTCGTAGACTGTTTAGACCTCCTAGTTCTTCTCTAAAGTGACATTCATGTTCAAGTACCCTATTAAAAAAAATAGGATTTTTGTATTTACCGTAAAATCCTTTTATCTTCATTCATTGAAGGACACAGGTACCGCCCTCTATATTGGGTGTGTACTCCTAACTGCTTGTTACTTACTGGAGACTTGACAGCAGGTGGGGGGTTGGGCCACCAGCAGGGGCCGCCCTTAGGCTGTCTCTGTCTTTTGTTGTGTGCCTAGCGTCCTTCTCCTGCAGGTGGCGATATACCTACAGTACAGGATCTATGATCTGTTGCCCTGTGTCCTTCAATGAACGAAAAAGAAATGTCACTTATTTGTGTATCACTCGGCTGTAAATCCTCAAATCATCTCTGAATTTGTGCTGACACTGTCCTTCCTCTGCATGATGGCTCCTGTTGTTGTGTGTGTTGTAAGGTAGCCACCTCTCCAAGCTCATTCCTGTGATAGACTATAATCTCATACTAATTTGTATTGAAATGATTGTCCACCAAGGGAGCGAGCTTGAGACAGTGGCTACTTTACACACACACATAGGCACCATGGGGAACAGAAGTTGCCACCCTCCAGAAGGAAGGACAGTGTCAGCATGAATTCAGAGATGATTTGAAGATCTATAGTTGAGTGATACAAGAAACATTTTTATTAATAGTTAAGGTACTTGAATGCATTTTTAAGATTTAACTCTTGAGTTTAGTGTCACTTTAATAAATAAAGTCTATGATCGGGAGATGAAGACAGTGGGATAGGGTGAATAGTGTTTTATCCACCTTGCCCCAGGTGGCGTGACTACTTAAAATTAGTTTGCTGAGACTGCATTCAGTCTGGCTGATTGTATAGTCTACTAATTTGGTTTTTCCTAAGGATTCTGTTATTGGTTGCATCTGCCTGCTGCTGGGTGTAGTCTTGCCACAGAGCAGAGCAACCAATAATAGAATACTATGGATATATATATATGTCTTGTTAGCCAATCACTAGGGGTTTCATGACCAGTGGTGCATGCTGTGGCTGGGTCTGACCATGTGAGAGCCTCTTCCTCCCCTGGCCTCCTGCCCTCGGGAGTTGCTTTACATGTGTGCTATCTGATCAGGCCTGGAGGCTGCAGGTGGTCAGGGGTGGACCCAGTTGGGGGTCTAAAATTGTTCCTGGTATGGAGAACCAGGGAGGAACTTTGTCTGCTGGAGGTACCGGAGAAGCCAGGATGGGCTTGGACCTCAGAAAGATGCCTGGCGTCTCACCCAGGGGAGATCACAAAATGTCTGCCCAACAACTATTGTGTTCTAACACAGTTTCACAGCGTTTTCAGTTTACAGGCCCTCTACACTGAGAAGCTGGAAGGTATTTGGTGAGTCTGGAGTTGTCTGATCCTAGATGTCTGCAGCCCTAACCCTCTTTCCCTGCTTTATTATTCATTGAATAAAGCATCATAAAATCCTTAACAGATCTGGCTCCCA